TCTCAAAAAAAAAAAAAAGAAAGTGTGGAATCAATAAACAGCTCTTGGTTTAATGGCAGGAGATGTACAGGCCTCACCTCCACTGCGCAGGCCTCATCTATGCCATCCAGCCCTCACCCACAGTGTCCAGACCTCACTTCTCCCACCCAGGACTCTACCCAGTCATCCAGGCATTCTCCCTGCCATCTAGCCCAAAACCAGAATGGCACAGCCCTCACCTCTGCTGCTAGACCTCATCTATGCCATCCAGCCCTCACTCCTGCAGCCCAGCCCTCACCTCCACTGCCCAGCACTCACGTCCACTGTCCAGCCTTCACCTCTACTGCAGCCCTTACATACACTGCCCAATCCCCACCTCCACTGCCCAGCCCCCACCTCCACTGCCCAGCCCTCACCTCTGCTGTCCAATCCCCACCTCCACTGCCCAGCCCCTACCTCCACTGCCCAGCCCTCACCTCCACTGTCCAATCCCCACCTCCACTGCCCAGCCCCCACCTCCACTGCCCAGCCCTCACCTCCACTGCCCAGCCCTCACCTCTGCTGTCCAATCCCCACCTCCACTGCCCAGCCCCCACCTCCACTGCCCAGCCCTCACCTCCACTGCCCAGCCCTCACCTCTGCTGTCCAGGCATCACCCTTGCTGTCCAGTCTACACCTGCAATGTGCAGTCAACGCATCCGCTGCTCAGGCCTCATCTATGCCACTTAGCCCTCACCCATGCCATCTAGCCCTCACTCACGCCACCCAGCTCTCACCTTTTCCATCCAGGCATCATTCCTGCCATCCAGTCCTCACCTACATGGCACAGCCCTCACCTCTGCCACCCGGGCCTCATCTACACTGCCCAGCCCTTACCTCCCCTGTCCAGCCCTCACCTCCCCCGTCCAGCCCTCATCTCCATCATGCAGCCACTGCCTCTGCAGTCCAGTCCTCACCTATGCCACATTGTCTGCACCTACACTGTACAGCCCTCCCCTGTGCCATCCAGCCGGCACCTTCATTGTAACGCAACAAGAGCTGGAAGAGGGGAGGCCCTGGTCCCTGGATGTGGAAGCCCAGAGCTGCCTAGGACTGCAGAGGTCTCTTAATGGCCAAATGTGGAGCTGGGTGTTGACATCCAATGGAACATGCTAAACTAGATGAGTAGAGCACTCCAGGTCACCCAAACTGCGCGGGAGAATCCAGGCACGAGGAAGTGCTAAGCAGAGCCCTCATGGGCTGCGGGGGAGTGGGTGGAGGCACTAGTGATAAGGCAGGTGGGGTCGAGGGAAGGTCCCTGAGCCGCCATACTGGGGCTGGAGGTGTGATCTGGGAGCAGAGAGCCATGGTTGATTACAGAGAGTGACACAAACACAGTGCTAGCGTCCAGAATAACAGTCAGGTGGGGTGGCAGTCAATGCGTGGCCCAGATGGGAAACTGAGGCTCTGAACTAAGTCAATAATGAGAAGGAGAAACTGAATATAATTCAGAATACTTTCACAATTTAGGCAAAATAAAATTCTTTTTAAGTTGCCAGTTCACTTTGAGGTTTCTACCTGGAATAAGTGAATGGTGATGTTTTTCACTGAGATGGAGGCGAAAGTTTTGGTGGAAAGGTAAGATACCTAGGCCAGGCGCGGTGGCTCACACCTGTAATCCTAGCACTCTGGAGGTTGAGGCAGGCAGATGACTTGAGGTCAGGAGTTCCAGACCAGCCTGGTCAACGCAGTGAAACCCCAACTCTACTAAAAATACAAAAAATAGCTGAGCATGGTGGCATGCGCCTATAGTCCCAGCTACTCGGGAGGCTAAGGCAGGAGAATTGCTTGAACCCAGGAGGCAGAGGTTGCAGTGAGCTGAGATCGCGCCACTGCACTCTAGCCTGGGTGACAGAGCGAGACTCCATCTCAAAAAAAAAGAAAAAAAGAAAGAAAGAAAAGATACCTAGTTCTGAATATGATACAATTGCTAGTGTTAGTAATTCAAGCACATAATGACCTTCCACTACTAGCTTGGAGAGAAGCATTGCTTTCTAGGTGACAAAGCATTGTCCCCTCACAGGGCAAGAGAAATGCTCTCGGGTACAGCAATAGCCCTGCTGAGAAGGGGCTGGTTTGGAGGAGTTTCATGGGAACCTGGTTTTCTTCTCTCACTTTTATCTGTGGTGTCTTTTTCCACTGTAAGTTCCACTCATCCCTGCGGCCTAGTTCACGGCTCCTCTTTTCCACGGTGCTGCAGAGATGCTCCAGGCAGAAGCTTCCTCTGGCTGAGACCCAGGCCAACTGCCCCTACTGGCTGCTCTCCGTCCTGAGATGTGCCTGCTCCTCTGCCCCACTGGGAGACACTCGTATCCCCAGCTCTGATTAGAGCCCTGCCTGCTCCTCCTTGCACACATACAAGCCTCAGACCCTGCTCACACGGGAGGCCTTTCTCAGTCACCTCTGCCCAGTGTTAACAGCGGGAACCATGTGGTCAGAGTTGCATCTTCCCGAGTTGAATCTGGAAAATGCACATGACCTACTTGTTTAATGATGTAAAAACATGTGCTTGGATCTGATCTCCGTCACCAAACCTTAAACGCAGAGTCTTCCCCTTCTCCTGTCTCCTGCGGCTCATGAGTGCCTTATACTTAAGTGATCTGATGCAGGTTATCAAACGCTTATGTTCTACCTGCTACTAAGCTCTAGGCCAAAAAAGGAATATTAAGAGATCCAAGCATTTGCTTGTGCTGGTGTTTTGAACCCTCCAGCACCTCATCAGTGCTTTCTTCCATTTAGCTGATGTGACGATGGCAGGAAACCAGCACTCGGCATACGATGTTTTACTCCGCAACCCATGCCTCCCACCAGGATGTAACCCTGTTGGCATCCCAGTCCGCTCTCAAATGCTCAGACTAATATAATAAATACACACTACTTAAAAAAAAGAATGACTTGTTTAAAAACTGCAAAGGCAGCCGATTGCAGACAGCCTCTGAGGAGCTGCTTTCCTTGACCCCCTAGGCTATAAAATAAATGCAATTTGAATAGGAAGGCTGTTCAAATCCATCAGCTCATCTGGGAATAATGAAGATAAAACCCGAGCCTTGAGCCGTGTTTGCAAAATGACTCAAAAAAAGAATTGACATCATTTAAAGGACTCTGAGGCTTAAGGGTCCACACCCTGAAGTACACCCACTGCCCAAGGACACAGAGCAAATGCAGGAATAATGCCCTTCCAGGTGCAAAACAAATCAGACCTTGTCCCTTTCACAGGCATCCAAACACAAATCACCAGTTCCCGACAGAAACAAATCCTGCCCTGCCACGCCGCAGAAAAACACTGGAGACAGAAATGAGCTCAGAGAAGGGCTGAGGGACAATGACAACGTGGGGACCCTGGACCCTTGGGCTCCACTAGCCTTCCCCCCAGCATGCAGAAGAGGGCTGAGCTCCTCCCTCTATTACAGAGGAGGCAAAATAAAGGGACTGCTTCCATGAAATCCCTGATCATCTCCCTCTGTCCGTCTGAAGAAGCTGTCAGGCCTGGCTGGGTGCTGCCTGTCTCAGGGAACCGGCTCTTACCGCAGAGCTCATTTCCGGAGGGGCAGAGGGCCGTCCTGCGTCTCCTTTAATGCCTGCGGGGGACACAGAGGCCACTTAGTCTAGGATCAGGACTGCCAACACCTGCTTTCTCACTATCCCATCTGCCTGGTAAACCTTTGTCTCTCTCTGAACATTCTGCATTTCAGATTGTCTTGTAGACACCATGAAGCGAGGTTTTGCTTTGAGCCAGTTTGAAAATCTCTTCTTTAAATGGGCAAGTAAAGCCAAATATTCACACGCATTGATACAGCTGGCTTTTTTGGTAAATTATGTTGACAATATGGTTATTCTTGGGATTAAATATTTCACGTGTTGAACACAATGCCTGGCACAGTGTAAGTTCTATTGTAAATGTGTGTTGCCTAAAACATAAATAGGATGTTAACGTGATTAAGACAAAGAGAGAAAAGGATTTAGAGAGAGAAGAGGCCAGGAGACCTGGGAGAAGACAATGCCAACAGGCTGTCTTAACAACACATGGAAAGTTCCACTGCACAGCCCCCAGACGCCTCACTCCACCAGCGCAATCCCTGCACGGCAGGCCGAGACCGTGGGCGCAGCAGTCTGCCTGACGAGAGCCGTGTCATCACATATCTAGAAGGAAAGGGCACCTCCGGTTCTGGAACATACGACAGAGGCACATTTCTCTGGGGGCTCCATGTACATTTCTAAATACGTGTCAGTGCAGGGACCCTCTGATAAGAAGGAAGTGAGGCCTGACAGGAACTGCCCTTCCAGTAACCCGGAAGAGACTGCTCTGACGGAGACAGGGGCTGGCTGCTCTGTGAATACACCCAAATCTCCTAGGGCAGGAGTGGCCAAGTCACCGTTCCAGGACACACCCGTGACCACACAAGGCTTCCAACAAGGGAGCAGCTGGCTAAGGAACGATGTCCTGGGGCTCTGGCCACATGGAACAGACCCAATCTGAGCTAGAGACACTGCCCGGGCCCACCAGGCATCGGCATGGGCGCCTGCCATGCGCAGAGCTCTTCGTCTGGACGGGGTCCCTGCGCCAAGAAGGCAACAGGCTCTGAGGGGTAAACTCAAGCAAGAGAGTCCCCTGAATCGGCGCCATCTGTCCGAATTCCAAGTATGCCTGCCTGATTTACCAGGGCACTGAAGAGCTTAATCAAGAAGAAAAAAAAAAAACAATCTGTGAGCTTTATCCAAAGGACAAAACAGCCACTGAGGCGTGGGACAGTTCCTCTCTCCCCATGTACGCTGCACACACTCACTCTACATGGACCACAACATCCAATTCACAGGCATGGAAGGGAAACAGCAAAGCAAACAGAAAGGCTTGCTGTGAAAAAGCACACACGAAACTTCACTTTGGAGTTGTTTTTTAGAAAGCTGCAGTTTGTGAATTTCTCTTGCTTTTTAAAACAGAATATTTCCAAAACTTGGGCATCAGTGCTTGATCTTTTTAGGTGGGGGATAGAAGACTGGGCCATCTTCACAGACCCTCAGACCGCGGCTCTCAGTGTCCCCATCTGCCAGCCAGCCTTCCTGCTTGGGGGACGGCTGCTCCCCCGGCTCAGTGCAGTTTTGCAGCTGCTGGTCTTGCTTAGTGAGGCACAGTTCTATCTGACCAACTGTCTGTACTTCTTCATCCTAAAAATAAACGATGAAAGACACTTTAGAATTCAGATCTTGGATTATCATCAAGGTCTTATGATCATGAACTTTCAGAACTTGAAGATAACAAAAGCAGAGGCTCCACACCACAGGTTCGAGTTTCCAAGAACAGACCCCTTCATTTAGCAGAAGGCTGACATGCACTAAATTGGAGCGGGTGGCTCTAGGAGACTCGCCTGTGGGCAGTGGAGCTGGGCTTGGGGCTTGGATCTCCTGGTCACCACCAGAGGCCAGCCTGGCAGCCCCAGTGAAAAGCCTCTGCTTTTATCTTAGAGAAAATTAACAAAGACACAGATACAACAGCACTCAATATACCTATTAAGATATTAGGAGAAAAAAATGGCTTTTGTAGGCCAAAAGGGCAACAGTACCCTATTGCTAAAAGAACAGGTATATTCTTGTTAAAGATAAGCAAGAAGACAACCTTGTCCTCGCATGCTGTCAAGGAACCATGCCTGCTCACACACAGCACATGCTCCCACAGACATACATGCACACCCACATACACAGATGCGCAGGCCTGCACACATGCAGAACATGCCCATACGTGCACACATACACACAGCACATGCACACAGATGCACAGGACCATGCACACACACAGCACATGCCCACATGCATGTACACACTCACAAAGGTGCACACAGCACATGTACACATGCATGTACACACTCACGCACACACACAGCACATGCCCACATATACAGACACAAATGCACAAATACAAGTCTGCCCATGGGAACTGTATGGTGAAGACAAAGCCATCAGGAAACTAGAACCTGTCTTCTTGAGAAAAAAAGGAAGACACAACATAACTGTCTAACCTGGCTTGGCGGAAGGCACTGGATTTTGGGTATCACTCCATATACTCTGGCGAGGGCATCTTTAAAATCTGCAACCTGATATTAAATACAAGTGTATTAGAAATTAAACTTCAACAGAAAAGATCTGACAGTTCTGGGCTATCCCAAGTGCAACAGTGGCAGGGTCCTGTTCTCCCCCGGCTGGCAGGGACAGAACCCAGCACAGGTGTGAGAATGAAGCTCCCATTCCCACCAGCAAAGCAGAGGATGCTGTCATCCTGGGCTTCATCCCCAGACCACAAGCTGCTCACTGCGGCTCTGTTTTCTCTCCACTCCTGTTTCTCTGGAGAGCGGAGCTCTCCTCCTCCCAGTGTCTTTCCGGGCCCCACACTCCCTCCCAAGCTGTCTCACCTGAAATGCCACCTGCCACAGCCACCCTCATCCACCGACTCCTACTCCGCCTTTCATGGCCCACAAAGCTTTCTCAGCCCTGCCCACTCTGAAGTCTCCCTCTCTCCCGACCCCCTTCCCACGGCGGACACATTCTCCTTCACAGAAGGCAGGCCCTGGGAGCCCTCAGGTGCTGGTCCCAAAACTGCAAACCTAGACCCCCGTGTGCTCCAACCTCCTCTCGGACAAGGGGCCTCCTCCCCACTCTACTGAGGGAATCCTCCCCTACTGCTTCTGCCTCGTGCCTTCTGAGTCCAACCTCCTAGGAGGACACCTGCATCCTCTAAGCCTCATGCTCTGGCTTTTGGGGGCATTGAACTGGGGTCACCAGCTCCAGCAGATGCCTTTTGCCCCTTGCCTGCCTGTCTGCCTAGACACTGTCCACTCCTTCCAGGAAGCTCTCCTGTAACCTCCTGAGCACCTGCTCCACTGACCGCCTGGCTACTGGCTGCCATTCCTGCCCCAACGCCTTGGCCTCCTTCACACTATCCCTTCTTCTCCAGCTGCATGGCCATGGGCCAAGACTCCCCCACCATGTGGCCTACTTGGAGGGTCTCTGTCCCTAGTCTCTCCCCAGCACCAGGCAACCACAGCAACAAGCAAACACCCCAGCCTACTCAGAGCTCAGCGCTGCTGGAGGATGCGGTCCTCATGTCTGTGGCTCCCACCCGGCCTCTTCCCAAACTTCCTGCTCTCCCCCTGATCCCCCTCAAGTGGCAACTGGTCTCATATCTTCCAGCCCCCAGCTCTGCTCCACTGAGCCACTCCCCCCAGGGCCTGGGCAGGCTGCAGGCCTCCATCTCAGCAACATATTTCCCAGGAAATGTCTGGGTCAGCAACTCTCCTGGGTTCTCCCACAGCCCTGATTTTCCCATAAAACAGATGAGTGGACAAGTGGCTGGATGCTGGATGCAAAAGCTGAAAGTCTCTCCTGATGATAAATCAAACTCCTTTCAAAGGACAGAACTCTGAGTGTCCACCGTGCTGTTTCTGATGCCCAATCAAACGCCATTAGCACCTGGAAGCAGCTCAGCAAATGTGTGGTCGTTGTGGCTTTTACTACCACTGGAATCAGTTCCCTGAATGCCAAGTTCTGGGCAAACATGGCAGGCACATTCCCCTCATCTATTCGCACATGAGTCCAGGTGAGGACTGTGAGGGCCCTGCAAACAATCATCTTACGGCTTCCCGGGGCTGGGTTTGTGCGGGAGTCTGGAAAGGACTGGCAGACTCCTTCCTCAAGTCCACTGCTCCCCACACCCTGGAAAAATGGCTGCACAGGTAAGCAGACACCACTGAGAGCAAAGACACTGTTGCCAATCTATTTCTCAAACTGTCAAGGCACCAAAACAATTGTTCAACATACAGCCATCAGCCCAGAACTGCTAAAATCAGTGACTTTCAACCTTTTTCTAAATCTACAACATGTGATAAATACAAAAACTATCTCAAAGAATCTGACACATTTCTCTAAGGCAAGAGTCTGCAAACATTTTCTGTAAAGGTCCACATCGTAAATATCCCAGGCTTTGTGGGTGACACATGGGTCTCTACGGCAGCTACATCACGGGAGCACAAGCATCCCCAGGTAATAAAGGATTACAATTTTGTTGACAAAAACAGGCAACCAAGAGTGGAAAACAACTACTTTTTCTTTCCTTTTAAGAGACGTGATCTGGCTGTCACCCAGACTGGAGTGCAGTGGGGCGACCATGGCTCACTGCAGCCTCAAATTCCTGGGCTCAAGCAATCCTCTGACCTCAGCCTCCTGAATAGCTGAGACCACAGACACATACTATCATGCTCAGTTGCTTTTACTTCTTTGTAGAGGTCTCATTCTGTTGCCCAGGCTGGTCTCGAACTTCTAGCCACAAGCAATCCTCCAGCCTCAGCCTCCCAAGGTCCTGGGATTTACACCACACCTGGCCAAAAACAACTTTTTGTATATGCTTACCAGCTAATAACATCTTGTCATGCTTAAATGTCTATAGTTTTTTTTTTTTAATCATAAAACAAACCACAATTTTATCATGAAAACAAACCACAAACATAAGACTATGTTACAAAAGTGAATGTGACTCTTCAAACTGCAGATTCCACCTGCTCTGCCAGACCCTGGGGCACACGCTTCTCACAAAAGGAGCCATGAATCTATGCTTCCAAATCACTGGTCTAAGAAGCCTTCAGTTCATACGCAACATACACAGAAAAATAAAATGCAAATAAAATCTGTTTAAATGATAACGGTTAAGTAGGAAGGGAGTTTGCATTGGGTCACTTTACAGTCCACTGACTCAGAGGCTGAAATGGCCCTGCTGGAGGTCCCCAGGAGATACACATGAGAAAAGAAGCAAAAGCAAGACTTACTTGGTAGTAATTGATGGATGGTTTTATCCCCAATTTTAGGAGCACACTAAAATTTAAATTTTAAAAAGTTAGCTGTATAATGAAGGTCCATTTTCCTTTCTTGTTCTTTTCAGATATCACATTTCATGGCAAAAATTAAGACACTCTTAAAGGAAAGTGCTTTTTTCCTATGACTTTATGCAACAAATGTGTCAACATGGACAGCAAATAGATGGTTCCCAATCCCCGCCTTCCCACCCCTCAGCACACACACTAACTGCTCCAGACACCCTTTCCAGTTCCTGACTCCTTCTGAGCATGGGATCACAGGGGCCACCACCAAGTGGAGGTGGCACACAGAGCACCACCCATTTGCCACACCTGCTTTAAAAGATAGCAAATGAAATTGAATTCCAGGCTTATCCTGGTAAACCGCATTTGGTCAAATCTTCAAACACAGTCATGCGCCACATTTCGACATTCAGTCAGTGAAGGGCTGCAGGTACGAGGGCGGTCCCATATGATCATATTTCTACTGTGCCTTTTCTATGTTGAGATATGTTTAGATACACAAATTCTTACCACTGTGTTACATACAGGTGCCTACAGTACTCGGTACAGTCACACGCTGTACAGGTTTGTAGCCTCACAGCAACAGGCTATACCACAAAGCATAGGTGTGTCGTGGGCTGTATCAGCTAAGTAAGTGCACTCCAAGATATTCACATAATGACAATTTTATACCCCATCACTAAGCAATACACAACCATATGTTAAGTCCCTACAGCTTTCAATCGCCTCCTAAAGCCCTGCTACACAGAATCCTACCAAACTACCATATACAGAATTGACTTATTAAATTATAAAGGTACACTGTAAAAATTCTGAATCATTCCAGAAGAATATCCTAGTTCCCCATATTCAAGCCTTTGTAGAAAATTCTAGATCATGATCACAGAGTGGACACAAGGACTTTGACAGCCTCTGTGGGCACTAACTGATTGTCAGACTGTCTTGGCCACAGAGTTCCTGGAACAAGGACTGAGATGCCAGGCCAGGGTCCTTTCAGCCCCAGACATGGCCCGAACCCACAGGACCTCGCATACCCTAGCTGTTGGTGTTGTATGAATAACAGGTTTCAGACTTTGCAGCAAAAAAAAAAAAAAAAAAAAAAGTAAACTAGCTCATGAATTTTTTGATATTTATCCTAAGTTTCAATGATCCTATTTTTGAATATTGAGTTTAATAAAATATTTTTGAAATTAATTTAAACTGTTTCTTTTTGCTCCTTTTAATGACGCTACTAGAACATTTTAAATGACATCTGTGGCTCGTGTTACATGTCTATTGGGTACCATGCTCCTGACCTGGGTGACCAAGGGAGTAAGGCAAAGAGAGAAAGATGTGGGGGAATGCAGCACCTAGCCCAGCACCATGCTTTCTGCTGAGTTGAGATGAGCTTGGCACTCATCCCAGGTCTTTACCTGTGGGTACTCTAGGACATGCCATCAGCTCATCTGAGTCTATGGGAACCCTGAGAACTTTGCTTCAAGATGATTTGTGGTTTTTCAGGTTTGCTGCCTTCATACTATGAAGTGAAGAAAAAAATGTTACAGTTTTGTATTGTATTTTATTTTTTTTGACACAGAGTCTTGCTCTGTGGCCCAGGCTGGACTGCAGTGGTGTGATCTCGGCTCACTGCAACCTCTGCCTCTTGGTTTCAAGAGATTCTCCTGCCTCAGCCTCCTGAGTAGCTAGGATTAGGTGCACCACCATGCCCAGCTAATTTTTGTGTTTCTAGTAGAGATGGGGTTTCACCATGTTGGCCAGGCTGGTCGTGAACTCCTGACCTCATGATCCACCCGCCTTGGCCTCCCAAAGTGTTGGGATTACAGGCATGAGCCACTGTGCCCGGCCTGTTACAGTTTATGATAATTTGAAAAGCCAACCTATGAGAAAAAGATAATTTGTGATACCAGTTTGGGAGGAAAAATGAGGGGTCTTAAATTTTGACTTCTTAATTTTATTTTTAGATTAAAATTAAGGCACTAAGAATTATAGATTTCCCTTGCAGAAACTAAGAATATAATTTTCCTATAATTGTTCTTTATAGGTTCTAGCAAACATACTCTCAGTAGTGCTTTGCCCTCACAGGCCCTCGGTGAACATTTACTGAATGAATGAATGAATGAATGAATGAATGAATACAGGACCCATCATCCCCATCTACATCAATGGCGGGGCAGCACTGGGCCCTGCTGAATCCCCACAGGGACTCCAGGACTTAAGAGTTTTGCACGTGTCTCGTGTGTGTGTGTGCGTGCGCGTGTCTTAGTCTGTCCAGTGTTGGTATACAGGAACACCTGAGGCTTGGTAATTTATTTAAAAGAGAGGTTTATTTGGCTCACGGGACTGCAGGCTGTCCAAGAAGCATGGAACCAGACTCTGCTTCTGGCAAGGGCCTCAGGAAGCTTCCGCTCATGGCAGAAGGCAAAGGGGAGCTGGTGTGTGCAGAGATCACATGGCCAGAGAGGAAGCCAGGGGGTGGGGGCGGTGCCAGGCTCCTGTTAACAACCAGCTCTCTGGGGCACTGAGTGGGAACTCGCTCACCCCTGCAAGAGGGCATTAATCTATTCATGAGGGATCCTTCCCCACAACTCAGACACCTCCCACCTCCACACTGGTGATCAAATTTCAACATGAGATTTGGTGGGGATAAACCAACCACATCCAAACCATAGCAGGAAAGCTACTGAGTTTCAACAAGTATAAGTAGGAGCCACTTAATAAGCTATTTGTTGGATACAGAGATGAATTATTTAGAAAACTGATTTTAAAATTTTCGGCAGTATCCATTTATCCTCCTTTCTCTGTTTGATTAAATGAACTGGTTTATGGAGTCAGCCTGGAAAGCACCAGCACTCTGCGGCAGGGTCGGGACCGTAAGACCCATATTTTGAAACAGAGGGCATCTCTCTTGTTATCTCCAAAGTGGTTCCTACCCTTCCAGTCTTTCAGCAATGACAGACTTTCTTTTTAATTGTAAGTCTCCTGTGCTCCAGGAGCTACCTAAGACACTCTCTTGGTTAACCGTCATAATGACTTTTTTTTTTTTTTTTGAGACAGTTTTACTCTTGTTTGTACAGGCTGTAGTGCCATAGCATGATCTCAGCTCACTGCAACCTATGTCTCCTGGGTTCAAGCCGTTCTCCTGCTTTAGCCTCCCGAGTAGCTGGGATTACAGGCATGCACCACCACACCCGGCTAATTTTTGTATTTTCAGTAGAGATGGGATTTCACCATGTTGGCCAAGCTGGTTTTGAACTCACCTCAGGTGATCTACTCACCTCAGCCTCCCAAAGTGCTGGGATTATATGCATGAGCCACCACACTCGGCCCACAATGACTTTTGAACAGCTAATTAGCCACATTTTTTGGGTGAGAAAATGTTTCCTAAAATATTGCTCTTACTGCAAGAAAGCAATGCTTCCTCTATTAAAAACCTAAGATTAAATTATATAGAGCAAATTATATACACAAACTATATACAAATCAAAGTGTATAGGTCTGTGTACGTTTCTTAGCGTATGTACTTGGTAGTGCAGATTTTAAGAGCTAGAAGGGACTGCAGGGTTGATGGCAACCTATCCATTTATTTTACAGCATGGAAAGAAGATCTAGAGGTCAGACACACAAATTGTACAACTAGTTAGTGTCAGAACCAGGATGAAAAGGCCCACCTAAAGCCGTGCGCTCTGGGAGGTGATTTTTAAAAAAGCTTATTCACAGGGCATTATTTGATGTAATCTTGGTCCCCGCTATCAGCGCCTGAGCTCTATCCCACCCAAGTCGCAGCTGTTAGACCGCGTTTCATCAGATGACACAGGAGACCATCTGTGTGAGACAATTTTGTGCATTGAGGTAAAGCACATGTCTAGATAAGCAATGGAGGTTTATTCATCTTTTAAGCAGATTTAATTCAGAAACCTTAAATACAGCTGATTAGCAAAGGCTCCTGGTATTATTCTGATTTGAAGGAGAACTGCTCTAAAACAAGCTGCGTAAATTGCAAGAGCAGCAACACAGAGGCAGTGCAATCGCCTGTCATGTTTTTTTAGCACTTCACTGGTTTATTATGACCTCTTATGATGAAGGTCAGTGAGAACAGCTAAGACACTGACATACTGAAACGTCCAGACGGAGAGGTAAGGGCACACCCTGGTTCTCTAGCAACCAGATTTGGACAGTGAGTGGGCTGGGCGTGGCCCTCGGGAGGCACTTTGTTTTACAAGTTCACTGGTTCAAGTGGTGACAACATATTCCCCTTCTCGAGAACTGAGGTGAGGGCAGGCAGGGACGATTCAGGCAGGTTTGGATCATTTCTGGGGTTTAAAGAACCCTGGCCAACATCTCTTTCCTGCCTGCTTGTTCCAGGAGCTCTGTGACAAAGACCCACAGACTTCCTGAGGTTCCGTCTTTCTAAGGAAAAGGAAACGACCTGTTCATGCACTATCCTTTATCAGGAATCATGGCTGAGAAAGGCACGCGCTGGTTGGAGTTCTCATTTTCCCTATGGCCGACTCTGATGATGAGATGGTGCCCAGACAGGCATCCCAATACTCTGCACCCACTCTGTGTGATCGTGATGTAGAATGATCCGGAAAGGCTCGGTAGGCACAGAACATTCCTCAGGAATGATCCCACTGGCCAAACAGTGCACACGCAGAAGCTGCTGGAGGGCAGCGTGGTCTACACTCACTCCCCTGGATCCAGCCGTCAGGCTTGGGAGACGGCAGGGATCCCCACTGGGAAGAGCAGCAGGGGGAAGGGCGCACCCACCTGTTGAGGTCCAGCTCCCTGTAGAGTTCCAGGCTTCTGCCAAAGTACTTCTTCTGGGAGTTGAGCGCGTCCACCTGGGCGGCACAGGTCCCATGCTTTTCCCACTCATGCTTCCTGTGAGGATTAGAAAAAAATCTCCACTTAAAAGTAATGAAACAGGCTGGGCGCAATGGCTCAGACCTGTAATCCCAACACTTTGGGAGGCTGAAGGCGGTGGATCACCTGAGATCAGGAGTTTGAGACCAGCCTGACCAACATGGTGAAACCCATCTCTACTAAAAATACCAAAAAATGAGCCGAGTGTGGTGGCAGGTGCCTGAAATCCCAGCTACTCAGGAGGCTGAGGAGGAGATTCGCTTGAACCGGGGAGGCAGAGGTTGCAGTGAGCCGAGATCATGCCATTGCACTATAGCCTGGGCAAGAGAGAAATTCCGTCTCAAAAAAAAAAAAAAAGGCAATGAAACTGATTCCTAATAAAAATGCTCAAGCATGTTTTCTCTTAGCACAGACCATTCCCGTGCAGTAGGCATGTCATTTCTTTTACAAAGTAGGAAGGATAAAATTCCTTATATGCAACATAGGCGATTATTCAATCCCCCACGATGAAATAATCAGTTTCAGTTCACGTCTACAATTACAGCTTGCTCAATTAACAACAAATCAAAGCTGAGAAAAAAGAACACGATGCTGCCCTAACCCCCCACTGATTCACAAAGCAGCGTGTGGCCTCCTGCAGCGAGTGGGTGCTTCGCAGCCAGGGAATCTCGCAGAGTGGCACAAACTGTCATTTCTAAGCAACCAGCCACAGAAAGGCAGGACAACTAATTACCAGGAAACACCTCAGGCCCATTTTCCATTTCAGCTGCTACAAATGATAGTTCAAGCATCCATTCTACGTAGAGGACAATAAGAACAACTGAACAGCCCATAACCAAAGGCTTGCACATGAACGTAATTTGTATTCCAGAAACATGTGGTCACCGACAATGATTCCTGATATTTTACTGCAGATTACAGGCTTACAAAAATCTTTCACGTTCTTCATTTGGTCCTCAAAACTCTGCAAGGCGAAAATATCACTGCTAGTTTAGAGACAGGGAACGGAAGCCCAGAAGGGCCAGGGGACTTGCTGAAAGGTCACTCAGAGCCTGCCCTTGAAGGCCACTCTCAAGTCCAAGGTCAGCACCCTTCCCACTGCACTGGGCTGCTGTCCAATCAACTGCTAACGAGACTGACAGCCACCTTCACAATGACCGGCGTGTCATTCAGATGTTTATCATCATTAGCATGAAAAGACGAAAAGACAAAATGGGAATCAGATTTCCTCAGCTTCATTAGTGATGAATTCATGATGTTTTAATAAATAACATTCATGCAACCACTTATAAAGCAGTTATATGCAGTCTTAAAAATATAATCTAAATGTGCATTAATTCATTGGCAAAATTCATCCAAAATACTAGTTTTAAATAATTCCTATCGATTTAAGTCACAGAAAACGATGAAAAGTTGAAAACAGGAAGGATAAAAGTGGATGAGTAACTATCTTCATCTAGAAGACTTTCCAGAGCGAATTACCTGATAAGTTGTTATATCCTATGGGGTAGAAAAAAAGAGATTATTTTAAACTAATAGAAATGCAACCTGAATTCCAGGTGACTTAGTTGCATAAAACAGGGGTAATTCTGCAGGTGAGATGAGGTGTGCCCAGCCCTTCCACACGAATGAGAACAGTTCCTTGCTCACAATAAACTGCAAATGTCAGCCATCATTATTCTTGGAGCAAGCTTAACTCAACAGATGTTGGAAATAGACTGATATTCACGGAGCTCAATGACATTCACTCACACTTCATTTGGAACTGGACCTTTTTTATTTTTAAGCATCAAAACGGTCAGTCACCAATGCGAAGTGACTCAGCGTGTTGCCCTCTATGCTGAGAGACACCCTGACTCACCCACCAAGCGTAGATGCAGCCAGGAGCGGATGTCCCGGGCTCACCCACCCACCATCACCTGGCCTGCTGGGCCACAAGAGGCAGCCAATTCTCGGGGCCGGTTATGCCCAAAGACACATTCCACAGCAGTGCTGTGACACCTTCCTCTGCCCAAGGAGCAGAGGTGGAGAAGCCAGAGGCCAACCCCCATGGAGTTAGTCAGGTGACCTGAGTGATAGGCACAGGACTGGGTGACACAGCCCAGACAGGAGCTCCTCCCTGATATTTTGTATTTAGGAGCACTCAAAAATATAAATATTAATTTGTGTGTGAGATTTATCCTTTTCATTTAGAACCAGGCAGTTTTTTAAAGTGTTTAATTCAACTATCAACTTGAAAATTTAAAGTAAGTCATCTTGCCTTTATCAGAGCACAAAAATAAATGCATACTTTGCCCACACTGTTTTGATTAAATGCTCAAGATCCAGCTCACTGAAGGCCTTTGCATGTTTGCTGATTTATTTTCAGCCATTTGGCTAGTCTGACAGACTCTATCATGGAACATTGTAACAACTGGAAAAATTATCTTTCATATAACTCAGTTACCATACGCTCATTATCTGAAGTACACTGTGAAGTGACATACAATTTTTTTTCCTATCTTCTTCCATTTCAACTTATCATGGCCATTATTTTGAAATAATTTTCTGGAACACAGGCTGTGCAGAATAGGTGACTGAGACCTGAACCATTCACCATCCGAATTTTCATTAAGAGTGGTTCTCTGTACTCAAGGGTGATTGAATACACAGATTGAGGGTCCATGAATCCTAAGGCCACTTCACTGCCACACCGATGAACCAGGAAGACGGACATCACTTCCATTTCATTTTGTTTTAAAAAGCTTTCTTCTAAACTTAACTTTTAACTTTCCTGAAAATTACACACAAAAATATTACTAGGTTAACCTTCCTACCGAAAATTTGATGGGTTGTAATCTGAATTATAAATTGCAACATTGAAGTGGGATAGAGAAAATAATTACCTTCAGTTAACATAATGTTAATAAAAGGAATTCACTTCATGTTATTATAAAAGCCATGATTTTAAAAGCTACCTTGAATTCAACATGGCATTTAGGTCCTAGGCTCAGCTTCGGCTGAACTTAAAGGCACTTCACCCTGACTGAGGTCTCAGCCTCACATGCTAAGTCTTACTTTCTCTCCTCCCTAAGTCATAGGCATGAGATCATCATCTTAGAAGACATCTTTTTTTTTGAGATGGAATCTTGCCCTGTCACCTGGGCTGGAGTACAGTGGCGTGATCTCGGCTCACTGCAACCTCCACCTACTGAGTTCAATTGATTCTCTTGCCTCGGACTCCCAAGTAGCTGGGATTACAAGTGTACGCCACCGTGCCCAGCTAAATTTTGTATTTTTAGTAGAGATGGAGTTTTGCCATGTTGACCAGGCTGGTCTTGAACTCCTGACCTCAAGTGATCCACTTGCCTTGGCCTTCCAGAGTGCTGGGATTACAGGTGTGAACCACTGTGACTGTTCTCTTTTTTCTTCATGTACTTCAAGACAGGAGCACAATTTCCTTGAGAAATATTCTCTCCTGTCTGATATAGACTAATTCTTAGACATGCAAGCATTTGACTTTGTTGAGCCTCAGAAGGGAAAATTTGTATCTTTCCTTTTTTTTTTTTTTTGAGACAGGGTCTCACCCCCTCCGTCACCCAGGCTGATTATCACCCCAGCTGATCACAGCTCATTGCAACCTTGAGCTCCTGGGACCACAGACACACAATACCACATCTGGCTGACTTTTTAAATTTTGGGTAGAGACGGCATTTTGTCATATTACCAGGCTGGTCTCGAACTCCTGGACTCAAGCAATCCACCCACCTCAGCCTCCCAAAGTGCCAGGATTACAGGCATGAGCCATTGTGACTGGCTGAGAAAAGTTTTCAAGCAAAGTAATAAATATCACATAGGTTAGAAAACAGGCTTATAAGGTAAATTCCACTTGCTTTCATTTTTTTATACATTGGAGAAAGGCACCAAAAATGCCATAACAGAATCATATTTCATAAAAGGTTGTTCAAACTGCTCAGCCCCATAAGACAGATTCTGTTATCTTGCTTCCCACACAGTTTCCACTTAGAGCGATTCATCACGCTCCCCACACCCGCTCAGACAGCAATCAAGACAGCAATCAGAGGCTGGGACTTACCAGAAGCGGCTGCGATTGGGAAACGAGTGAATCACATCAGGCCAGTATGCCTTCATTTCTGGCAAAAGATCCTATGCATTAAAATAAAAAAAATAAATAAAAGAAGTCTATGCAGGATCTTAATAATAAACTCCAAACCCAGAAGGTAAATTTGATAAACTGACACATTCAAAGAATTGAGCTCTGCTAATTAACAATACTTGGGTGAGTAAAATAATCCTATACTTATTTTGTACAAAGTGTTTGTTAAGTATATCTACAAGTGCAATTTGAGTAATCATAAAACTGCACATGAAAATACAAGCTCTTACAGGTGAAGGGATAAAGTGTACATCCAAACAATGGAATATTTGCAGCAACAAAAACCAATGAACTATCAAGCCATGAAAAGCCATTGGAGGAACCGTAAACATATATTGCTAGTGAAAGAAAGAGGCCAATCTGCAGAGGCTCCATACTGTATGATTCCGATGACGTGACAATTTGGAAAAGGTAGTCTTAAGAGACAAAAATGAGATTTGCGGTTTCTGGGGGTTCAAGGGGAGGAAAGAAGGGGAGGTATGGCTCAGGGGGTCTGAGGCCAGGGGCTGCTCTGCACTACACTGGGTGGGACTTGTTCTCCTGCATTTGTCCAAAGCCACACAACCGCACAACACAGGAGTAAACCCTAATGTTAACGCTAAACTTTATTTAATAATAAAGTACCAGTATCAGTTCATTAATTGTAACAAATGTAACACACTATAGAAGATGTTAATGATTGGGAGATTTGAGGGGGAAGGGAGTGAACTGTCTATAATCTCCATCCAATTTTTCTGTAAACCTAAAACTGTTCTAAAAACAACATCAGCTGGACGCGGTGGCTCACGCCTGTAATCCCAGCACTTTGGGAGGCTGATGCAGGCGGATCAGAAAGTCAGGAGATCAAGACCCTCCTGGCCAACCTGGTGAAACCCTGTCTCTACCAAAAACACAAAAATTAGCTGGGCATGGTGGCACATGCCTGTAATCCCAGCTACTTGGGAGGCTGAGGCAGAAGAATCACCTCAACCAGGGAGGCAGAGGTTGCAGTGAGCCAAGACCGAGCCAGGGCACTCCAGCCTGGCGACAGAGTGAGACTCCATCTTAAAAAACAAACAATACACCATCAATTAAAACAAACAAACAAAGGACAAGCTCTTCTTTTCCCAGAGAAGAGCTTGTGTGAGCTGGGCAGCCTGGGCTCCACACTGCACTGGTCATGCTAAATTCAACAGAACTGGAGTTTACTTTTCAATTTCTACACACCCTCTACACCAAAAAAACCCAAAATAGTCAGTAAAAAGATGCTTAACAAACTTCAGATAACTTCATTTTTCTTCCCTTTCTCCTGTTTTCCAGCACCCTATATAAGGGTTTTTTCCTCAGCCCATTTGTAATGCGGCCCCCACCCCACAGCCCCTGCCCGTGTGGGCGCAGCTCTGACCCCCTGCAGCCCCCACCCCGCCTCTCCTGCCCCACCATGCTGGCTTCAGCCCCTCAGCCCTCAGGATGATCTAGGCCACGATATCATTGTGCAAACTGGGCTACTTCCGTTTGGGACAATGCAAAGTTGGACCTACCGCTACACAACGAGGAAGCCAGGACTACTCTGAGGAGCGGCGGCTCAGGCCACCACAGACCCAGGACCCGCCACCCCCACCCAAAAGGCGCCACCCCCACCCAAAAGGCGTTTCAGCCTTCCTGTCCTGGATGCCCCGGGGATATGCAGTCCCATGGTGCCTCTGCACGAATCTCTCCTCTCCCGGGTTTCTGCCTTTCCCGGCTGCAGGCACACATGCCCCTTTTCACCTGGCTGTTATCACGGGGTTCCACCAGCCCCTCTGTCCACCAGGCCCACACCTGTCAGTGCTGTCCCCTTAGCCCACCCATATCTGTCAGCTCTGCCACCTCACCTACCCATGT